ACATCCCAGCACTCCCCATCACCCCAGGCACTGTCACCCCCTGTCAGTCCCCGTCACCTCCCCATGCCTTGACTCACTCCGTGACACCATCACCTTGTGTCCTCTGTGTCACTGCCTGTCCCCACCAGGACGCCCAGGAGGTGACCCACAGCCTCTGTGCCTGCCCATGCCACCCCCAGCTGTTGGTGACACCATCCCATGGGGGGGATGTGACACTGCAGGTGCCACCATTTGCCTGAGGCCCTCCCTGGGGGGGGCCGAGAATAGCTGAGGTCCGTGTCCTGTAACGGGGTGTCTCCCAGGGGAGGTGACACGAGAGCCACCAAGCCGTGTCACCGCTGCAACGGTCAGTGCTGGAGGGAGACACAACCCCACAGCAGCCAACAGAGACCCCACAACACTCTTTAATTCGGGGCTGGCTTTTCTCCCTTGTCCCGCCCCGGGCAGGAGCTGGCGGGGCTTCAGGGCCCGTCCTTGTCCATGCCGGGGTTGTGCAGGATGTAGTGGCAGATCCCGGGCAGGCGCTGGTGGCCCATCAGCTCCTGCAGCTGCTGCATGGGCCCGTTGTGCAGCGCCGTGTGCCCGTAAGTGGGGAACCCCCGGGCCTGCGCCCGCCGCGCCGCCACCGTCAGTGCCACCTGCATGTGGCCGCGCCGGCGGTGCGCGGGCAGCGTGAAGCCGTGGGCGCCCGTCCCGAAATGGTCGGTCAGCACCCAGCTGAGGGGCTCCCCGGCGCCGTCCTGCACGCACACGTGGGGGAAGCGCCCCAAAAGCTCGGCCAGGTAGCGCCGGCTGCGGGCGTTGCCCCCGTAGGGCCACGTCTGGTTCAGCAGGTCCACGTGCGAGGGGAGCAGGGAGCCCAGCCGCACGCCGGGGTCCAGCCTGGGGGAGCTGGGGGTTAGTGGGGGGGGAGCTCGGGGGTGCCTGTGCGGGGTTGGGGTGTGGGGGGGTCTCACCGGGGCTCGGGCATGGTGCTGGGGTCGGGGTGCACGTAGGTGTAGTACTCGGTGATGTCCAGCTCCACGCCTTTGGCCCTCGCCAGGTCCTGTGACACCGTGGTCAGCCCGTCCTGTAGCCCTGGCCATGGTGATGTCAGGCAGTCCCGCTCCCCTGGCACCCCCATTTCTGCCTCCAGCCCCCTCTGTGTGAGCCCAGTGTCCTCGGTGTCCCCAGGAGATACCTGCAATCCCGGTCTCTATCCCCAGCACCCCAATCCCTGTCCCCAGTGTGCCTAGCACCCCCGAGTCCAACCACAGCCCCCCAGTACCCCCCCAAATCCAACCACCATGCTCCCCAGTGCCGCCCAGCACCCCTAAGTCCAACCACAGTGCTCCTCAGACCCCCACATCCCACCACAATACTCCCCATTGTCCCCCAGGACTGTGTCCCCAGTGTGCCCAGCACCCCAATTGCTGCCCCCAGTGCCCCCCGGCGCTCCCCAATCCAATCATGATGCTCCTCGGCCCCCAACACCCCCAAGTCCAACCCCAGCGCTCCCCAGAGCACCCCAGGACCCTGCTCCCCGTGTACCCAGCACCCCAATTCCAGCCCCAGCAGCCTCCAGCGCCCCTAAATTCAGCCCCAATATCTTCCATTGATAGCACCCATCAACCCCCACCCCAGCACACCAAGCCGTGCCCCCAGTGCCTCCCAGTGCCCCCCCCAGTGCCCCCCAGTGCCCCCCAGCATCCCCCTGCCCCCAGGCCACCGATGATGATGAAGGCGGCGTCCCAGCGCTGGCACCCGGGGGTCTCCAGCAGTGCCCGGTACGCCCCCAAATCCCGGTAGAACGCTGTCTGCGTGTTCCAGTAGCTGTCGTTCACTGGCACCTGGGGGCACCCAGGGGCTCCCTGAGCACACCAGGGCACCGTGCCATCCCCCCCCTTTCCCTGCAGTGCCCCATGTCCCCGCGGGCCACCTCTCCTCTGGGACGGGCCAGCACGGCGCCGAAATCGGGCCACTTGTCCACCAGCACCTCGGAGTCGCCCGGGTTCCCCCGGTTTATGTTCAGCACTGCCCCGTACACCTGGGGGAGAGCGGGGGTCAGGGGTGGGGGGCACATGTGTGGTCAAAGCTGGGCAGCACAGGGGCAGATGGGGGGGTCAGAGCTGGGGGGGGGTTATGGGGGCAGATGTGGGGCTGGAGCTGGGGGTTTATGGGGCAGATGTGGGCGGGGTCAAAGCTGGGGGGGTTGTGGGGGCAGATGTGGGGTTGGAACTGTGGGCAGGGTCAGAGCTGAGGGGAAGGGGGGCAGGTGCGGGGGGCAGGGTGACACAAGGGCTCCTGGTGACATGGGGGTCCCCATCACTGGGGTGTGACTTGGGGGTCCCTGGGCCTGGGGGGTGAGAGTGGGGAGGTGCCACGGGGGTCCCGCTCAGGCAAGAGACAGGGAGTCCCTGTCACCAGCAGGGCAAGGGACAGGGGTGACACTGGGGTCCCCATCACGTCGAGAGATGAGTGACACTGGGGTCCCAGTCACGGCACAGCACGGGGGTGACACTGGGGTCCCTGGTGCAGGGGTGGGGTGCCCATCACTGGCAGGGCAGCGTGGCATTGGGGTCCTCATCGTGGCACAGGGCAGGGATGGCACAGGGCAGGGGTGACAGCGGGATCCCGGTCACCGGCAGGGCGAGGGGCAGGCTCTTCTTCAGGATGCCCTCCAGGCGCTGCAGCTGGGCTGGGCTCGTCAGGATCTGCATGGTCCTGCCAAGAGACCCTTGATAGCAGAGGGACAGGACCCCCAGGCGTGGCCCCCAGCCCTGTCCCCTTCCCCAGCCCCGCGTGGTCCCCAACCCCTCCAGCACTCACCCTGCAACAGTCCTGGAGCTGTGGAGCGGGAGCCTGGAGACCGTGTGGTGGGCGGTGACAACAGCGGTTCCCAGGGCCACCACGAGCCGTCACGGGCCAGCGAGTGCCCCCTGCCTCGGGAGGCATCGGGCAGGGTCCATCCTGCTGGGCACTGGGCACAGGGCCAGCCCTGGGGCCGCCTGGGGACGGGTGCTCATCTGGGACATTCTGCTCCCCCGTGCCACCAGAGCCCCAGGGATCCTCGGTGCCACCACCTGCCCCACGGTCTCGGTGCCATGCAGATCCTGAGGTGCCCAGCCCAGCTGCGGCTTCTGGAGGAGACCCTGCGGAAGAGCCTGCCCACCACCCTGCCGGTGACAGGGACCCCAGGGACCCCCCTGTCCCCTCTGCCTTGCCAGTGACAGGGATCGCAGGGACCCCTCTGTCCCCTCCCCCCTCTTCTGCCAGTGATGGGGACCCTGGGAACCCCTCTGTCCCCTCTGCCCTGTTCTGCCGCTGACAAGGACTCCAGGGACCTCTCTGTCCCCTCTGCCCCGTCCTGTGGGTAGCAGAGTTCCCAAGGACTCCTCTGTCCCCTCCCCTCCTTGCCAGGAGCCCCTCTGCCTCCCCCTCCACCTTTCTGGTCACAGGGACCCTGGGGACCCCTCTGCCTGCCCTGCTGGTGACAAGAACCTCGTGTCCTCTCTGCCCCCTCTCCCTTGCCCTGCCACTGACGGAGGCCCCGGGGGACACCACAGCTCCCTCTGCCCTGCTGGTGACCAAGATGCCGGGGACTCTGGGAGCCCCATTGTCCCCTCTCGCCTTCCCTGCCGGTGACAGGGACCTTGTCCTGCAGGTCCTGGGGACTGTGATGACGGTGGCCCGGGGGAACCCCGCCGCCCACGAGGTGCTGGTGGACTCCTGGCCCGATTTTGGCATCGTCCTGACCCGCCTGCGCCCAGAGGTGCTGCCCCGTGTGCCCCCGCCCTGGCAGCACCCCACACCCCAGGGGGCTGGGAGTTGGGGTGCCACCCTCAGCCCCCCTGTCCGCTCTCCAGGAGCACAAGGACCCCAAGGATCACTACACCAACCAGCTGTCCGTGTTCTACCGGGACAAGGGGGCCCTGCAGGCGCTTCTGGGGGGCACCGAGGCGGTGGTCCAGGCACGAGCCTTCCAGATACTGGGTAAGGATGGCCCTGGGAGGGACACGGGGACACCACCTGCTGTCCCCTGCCCGGCTGACAGGCTGTCCCAGGGCTGCAGGAGGGGCTGGATGAGGCCGTGCGGGAAGCGGCCAGTGCCAAGGGGCTGCACGTGGAGACGATCCGGTACCTGGGACTGATGAGCCCTGAGGCCCCCCGACCCCGTGGGCAGTGAGTGAGGGCACCCAGGGTGCAGGGACACCAGGGTCACCGGGGGGGGGTGGGGGCACTGGAGTGCAAGGGGACACTGGGGACACGGGAGCACCAGGGACACAGGGGCATCGAGGGGCCAGTCACATCCCTGGGTGGCACAGGGGTCCCCAAGCACATTCCTGGGTGGCACAGGGGGTTTCTGGGTGACATGGGTGGTCCCTGAGCATGCTCCTGGGTGACACAGGGGTCCCTGAGCACATTCCTGGGTGGCACAAGGGTTCCCAATCCCATTCCCGTGCGGTACAGGAGTTCCCTGACCACATTCCTGGGTGACA